TAGACAGATAGATATAGATAAACCGATACACGTGTAAATATAGATGTTTTCCATTGGCTGGTTGGTTGCAATGTGCCTGGCTTTCTTTCGCAGAGGTGGAGCCTGTGAAGCGGGGCAGCTCCCGTCACACCTTTGCCCCTTGGATTCGGACCAACCCGAAAATCTCCAGCAAAATCTCAGGGACTGAAGAAGTACTAAGAGTTAAACATGTTTTGTTCCTATAATCGTATAGCAGTGTTTTGAGTAGATTGCTACTATGACTAAACTTGGTTTGAGCTGGGAAAAGCGATCTAACATTGCACGCCCTTGGCCCCCTCACAGCCCAAACATTGCGATAGGGGCAGAAATGCGAGCAGTAAACAACAACCCCACAAGGCAACGATTTTTGCGCGGTCACGAATTCGGGGTTTAAAACGAGCTCACTGTGATGTAGGCCCTTTACTTGGCTTCCTGAAAGATCATTTGGTCATGATTTTTGCACATGCACTCCGATTCTATTTGTTTCGCCCCGAATATAACCAGGGGTTGAGCCTCCTGATTTTGCAGTCGGGGAATGGTTTTCCAGACCCGGCAGTGGTTCCCGCCGTTGTTTTTCGTTCTGCATTTGGAGGGCGTTTCCCTTTGAGATCACCGCACCCAGACACGCTTTGCCTGTTGGAGCCTTTTGTTGGAGCCTTTCGTGACCCTCGGAAGTGAGACAGGACATCACGTTTGGGACCTCGTTTTGAACCTGGTACCCGTTCAACTCACCCTGATTTTTTGGTGTGCAAGCTTCTGTGGTTCCGCCAACCTCTCTGGTTGTTCGGTTAAACTGCTGCCAATCCAAACTTGGGGGGGTGGCGTGGTTTCCCAGATCCTCGTTTTCTTATACCCGGTAGTCCTTGATTGAATCCCGAGGTTCGGTCAATGGCCACAGACTATAGGGCGAAGGCCGACAAGGCGGCGCTGGAGGACACCGACTCCGAAAGCGCCTTGATCCAACGGCAACAATCAAAAGGGCATCTTCATAGGGAACCACCTTAGTGGTTGGTGGAGGATGACTCCCAAGCAGGATGTCCAGAAGAACTTTGCGCGAGCAAGGTTTTTTTTTGAAACCCACATGGGCATGAATTTGGATCCCTTTGGACATCATTTGGGTTCATGTCCAACAACTGTTGAGAGGGTCCCTATGGAAAATCACCGGCATGTGTCCAAATAGAGGGGCCCTAAAAAATGGCTGGCGCTCTTTTGGTTTTCTTTCAAAGCAACCCCGAAACGTACCCTCAAACAAGAAAACCCTCTCGCTCACTCACAGCCCCTTGCACATGCGTCCCATGTTCGGGGAGCAAGAGACAGCTTTCCCTTTCACATTGCACCGTCCTTGCACCAGGAGGTGCGGCCTCCGAAACTACCACGATAAAACATAAGACTTACTCATGTGGGTGTGGGTTTTTGAGGGTACCCTTTTGGGGTTGTTTAAAAGGGAACCAAGAGGAAGCGACCCATTTTGTGGGGTTCCCCTCTTGTGACACTCGCACACGCCCATGTAAAAGTGCAGGTTAGCAAGGGACAATCCCAGCGAACTCCTTTAGTACCGAGTTTCATCAATCATAGTGATTAGACAGGTGTGAAACAAGTTACAGGCCAACGCCAAGAGCTGTGTAAACAAGGATGGTTTCACTTCCTATTGTCGGTTTGAGTCTGATGAAGGTGGGAAATAAAGATGCATGTGAGGCAAGCTCTCGCCTCCAATCACCTACCTTCCTTGTCTTTCATCCATCATCCAACCATTCAATTTCCAGATGTGCGGTGCAGCTATTCCCGAATCATCTTTGCATGCTTGATATGCAAGTGAGAGGCATGAGTGGAAGGCATGGACAAGGAAATGAAAGCCAATCGACTCTGCCTTCTCTATGCCTTTTCCATCCGGAACTTTCATTGTAGGCAGCACAAGTACAGCAGAATTAGTGCATATATTTCGGGTGACCCAAATGGTGATCAGTGTAAGATATACGGCAGTCCCTATTCGGGCGAACGGGGAGGGGGTGAACTGATGTATCTCAATGTCTAGCTGGAACGCAACAGCGTATGTTGGTCCCTCTGGGAGAATTAAGGGGTTTTGAGTCGCAATGCGGCCATTTGTACTTTAGTTCGTGTCATCCATGGACACGTCATGGCCCTGGCCGGCAATTTTGTGCGGGTTGAAGCGGCGATTTGCCCAAATGGTGCAAATCGCCGTGGGATTCGTCGAGGTGCGCCAAGATAACCTCACTGAAGCACGGTGTTCTCAATCAAACACCATGTCACCATGTTCAGTCAGTCTAAGATTGGCATCTTCTCATTGCTCAAGGTTCCTTTCTTAGCAAAGCTTCGCCGAGCCATGCCTACGCAGTTGTCTCACCTCGCAGTTGCTTTGTTGTTAATTGAAACTGCCAGGAACAGTCTCAGATGCTTCCACATAACATAGATCAGCCACCTTTGACGACTGCTTGAAACCGCAATCGTGACTTGGGGCGATGCTAGGATTTGTGTTGCAGTTTCAGGGTGAGCAAACATGATGCAAACTACCGTGCACAGTATTTCAAAGGCCTCACTCCAATTGCTGATCTCATGCTATCCACTTTTAGTCCCGGACATCCCATGCAACCTGAAGGAGTCTGCGCTGCCTGATTTTTTGATGGGGCTGACCTGTGCTTCAGTGCACCGCTTAGGTGAGCCCGGAGGAAGCCACTGGCAAGAGATCGCAGCAGAAATCGCCACCTCCCACACGATGTCTGCCACTGATCTGAAGCGGCAACCTGGGTTTTGTATGGGTGCGCGGTGATGTCGAGCATTGCACCACGCATTGAGACAAACACATGTGCCTCACATGGGTGCTTTCTACATCAGGGAATGTTCTAGTGGGGACATTTGGTGGACACACGCATGTGCCATGCTTGAAATACATCTTGACGTGCAAGGCCGCGATCATGGCGCTGATTGCAGTGAATATGATTCTGATGGGGGTGGAGGTGGACGTGTCTTTCCGGCTCCTTTGCTTCTAACATATTCCATGTTTGCTTGTGTATTGACTGGACTGACTGAAACAGTTGTTTGTTCGCAAATGCAGGTCCCCCTAAACAGAAAACACGCTCTTTACAGGACCATCACCAGGACATTCCACTCGGGGGTGGTCAACAGAGATCAAAAGACGGCCCCTTGGTTGGCCTTAGCACCCCTGAGGGTGCTGCCTTTGACCAAAATGGACCCCCCTCAATTTTTGACAAGCCCCTAAACGGTCTCCATTTGGAAGTTGGCGCTTCAAGGCATGCCTACAGTTGCTGTGAACCACGCCGCTCAAATGTCTTGGATCGTCTCGAGACTTCCTTTCAGAAACCCATGGTGTAGTCCTGAGAGTCTAGGAGTGCTGCAGCAGGGATGTCCGTTGATCTGATTTTAACAGTATGAACCACCATTTGTTGGCGGGAACTATGCCAAGCTTGGAGGAGGCGTTGGCGACCAATGCCTGAGTCATCACAAGCATATCGCGACGGCGGATAGTTTCCCATCTGGCATGTTTGAGCAGTCCGCCCGACAAGCGTTCGGTCACGACAGCTTCGCCGATCTTGTAACAGCTGTGACAGAGTTGACCCGAACAGCAGTGGCAGACCAGAACTAGTTCTCACCGAGGCAGCAGTGACAAACCAGACCCTGAAGCTTTTTCATCTGTGGCCCAAGCAGACCAGACTCTGATGCTCTTGCCAGTGACCCGACTCATGCAAACGATGAGGCTCTCGGCCCGACCTTTGCTGAAGCCAGAGAAGCACACTTTTCTGAGTCCCAAAAAGGGCTAATAATATAAACGCTGCGCGTTGCCCGCCTCGGCCCAGCCGAGCGCGCAGCGTCTGTGGTTCGACTGCAAGCAGCAGAGCTGGTGGAGTAGCGACTCAGGCATGGACAGGTTCTGGCGTCGTTGGACCAATTCATGTCATGGGCCCGCAGGAATCCCCGATGCAAGGGCAAGGCGATGCACAGGACCAGGAGTGAGTCATGGAGCTGCCTTGCTTGGGTTGGTTGGTGGAGGGCCTGGGTTGGGCTGAGCCTTGCTGGGTGGTTGCTGGTTGCGGGCCTGAGGCAACTCTCAGACACCGGGCTGGGCCCGAGGCTAGTGTGAGTCTAGCGTCAGACGTGCGAGACAGGGCTGGTTTGTCTAATGGTTTGCTGGTTCAGCAGGTCTCAAAAATTTGGCAGCCGGATGGCGGGCCTGCCTGGGATCTGGCTGTGCTGTGCCAGCAGCAGGTCATGCTTTTCGGGACCAACCTTGCCCTTTTGGGGTGGAGGCAAAGCTGTTTCCCGACCACAAGTCTGGCCCCCGGACGAACATTGCTGCGGCAAGCTGAGCCCTGTTGTGGTTTCTGAAGAGGCCCGGATGGGTCGGCACTCTGTTACTGAGATTCGTTAAAAGCGAAAGCAGAGGAAAGCCGGCCGGACGCACTCTTGCTTTGCATGTTCCCTGTGGAGTATCCAGGCCGGCCTTGCCACAGGGTCGTCCAATTTGAATTGCTTAAGCCAAGATCCGTGAGCGGCCTTACTAGGCGGCTAGACTCTTGCAGGTCAACATGGGCCTCGGCGAGTCCTCTATGTGTGTGTGTGTGTGTGTGTTGGCACCATGCTTCTTGGGAGTTGATAATGTCCCTGCCGGCTGCCAATACCAGCGTGCCAAGAAGTGTCACCTGGTATGGGCCACAGTGTTGGGTCAATATTTTTTCGCGACAGATTTACGGAAAGCTTGTTCGAGGCACGCTTGCACATTGTGTCCTTAATTCCCTGCCTGTGCTGCGAATGGCGCGAAGCAAAGCATTGGCTGGACTAATTTGGAGCTCTGCGAAGGACCGGAAAGCCCATGGAGCTTGTTGCAAGTTTTCGCGCGTTGGGCCCAGGACGAGGACGCAGCAGCCACGGCATGCAGCTTGGTCACTGGTTCGCAAGCGCAAATGCAGCAGCAACACTGGCTCCAGAGCGCGCGCTGCAAACGAAAGGAGCATGGCGATGGAGACGTGAAAGAATCATAAGGAGATTCTTTTGTTGCGAAGAATTGCGTTATTCATCAACTGTTATTTGAGTTCGAGACGGCCAAGGCTCCCGGAGAAGGATATCCCACCATGGTTCAACGTCGTCAACTTGGTCATCGTCATCTTCTTCGTGCTGGAGATTGCCTTGAAGCTGGTGGGCGTCGGGCCTGCCCCATGCCCAAACCTAAAAGCCTAGAAAGCCTCCACAAAGTGACTCGTAGAACCAAGCAACAGGTTCGCAAAAGTGCTGGCGTTTTGGGGCTATGGCTCAAAAGTCATTTGATGTGCGCGTCAGGAAGCGTAGCTTTGGTTGTGTGGCGGGTTTGGTGTGATGTTTGGCCGGTGCAATACTATCGAGCTGTATCATTAGGTCTTGGACTATTGGAATGTTGGGTTTTGACACGTTGGGTGGTTGGATGTCTTTGGAATTTGAGAGGTTTGTTTACACAAGTTTTTGGGGCGGGTTAGATTGGCTGGGTTTTCTTGAGATCGGCCCAGGTTGAATTCTTTTGCGGCAGCGACAGGGGCTGGAATGTCTTCGACTTCTTTATCATACTGATATCTGTCCTCGAAGCGACGCTCCAGCTGGCTGTTCAGGACGGCATGAATTCACAGACGCTTGGCGCACTCAAGTTCTCCAAGCGGGAGGCTCAAAACGCGTGGCTTCTGTTTTGGTTTCCGTTTCTGTCCCGGAAAAAGGGTAACACTAAAAAACCACCAAAATACGACATTGGTTCCTTGGGAAGTGTTTGTTACTTTCAGACATACACAATAGTGCAAGCATATATTCGGATAATGTGAGTCATCGGCCGGAACAACAGGGAAAGATGCTGCCACATGGCGTAGTTGTCTGTGTGTGTGTGTGTGTGCGTGTGAAGTTGCCCAAGTTCAGCCCCCGACGTGTCTGACAAGAGCCTAAAGGGCCCTGTGCAGCACATCTCGCCATCAACCACCGGAGAGGTTTCCTTCCGTTTTTGTTCGGGCTCGAGGTCCCGCTTTTTGGGTGGTTGTTTGCTATTGTTCAACAAGAAAGAGCGTTCGGGTCCGGAGGTTCCGGGTGGGCCAGGTGTATAATTAAGGTTCCAGGAAGGTTCTGGAGGTTTTGGGGTGTGTAAGGTTCGAGCAAGGTGCTGGAGGTTTCGGGGTGGTGTGGTGCAGGCCAGGTGAAAGGTTCCAGAGGCTCAGCCCAGATAGGCTTCGGGGGTTCCGCGAAAGTTCTACAGGGCTCCAACAGTCTTGAAGGGTTGTGGGAGGCCCGCAGGGTTCCGCGAGGGTTCCGCCGGGTGACCGGGCTGGAATGCATTTGCGGGCCGAAACAAAGCGCCGGGGATATCACCTGAGCTTATTGGAGCTTGCCTTGCAGGAAAACTGAGTTTGTTCAAGAGAATTCGTTGAGGGCTTCTCAAAATTATTTGTCGGGATTGCTTTTCTTGAGCAACCAACATTTCAAGGTAATGTTGAGGATGTCACTTTTCTCCAACGACTTGTTATCTCGGCTATCGGCTAAGGATGGTCCATGTACGCGCCATTCGCTTCGTGCGGATCGCGCGAGCGCTGCGGGGCATCCGGGTGCTGAAGCTGCTGAAGTACGTGAGCGCGCTGCGCCCGGGAGTCATACTTTGATTTTTTGAGGTTCGCTGAATATCCGCTAAGGTAGTATTCGGGGATGTGTCTACAACACGTGGCATTCCTTGCAAGTTACTACTGGGAATGTTTTTTGACGCAAAGGTCAAGAGGAGACACGCACACACACACACACACAATCCGGCCACAGCGCCATGAATATGTGTATGTATTACATTTGCTGCCAGAAGCCAAAGACTTACACTTTGGAATATGTTGGACACGCACCCGGTTGCCTCAAACTGGGTGGTTTTCCAATATGCCTACAGGCCTCACAACGCTTACCTATGTCATGGATGCTTCCCCATCTTGTGCAATCTCTGGACTAATCGTTGCCACGTTTCCGGGAAAGGGGGTGCAACGTCATGAACGAAGGTGTATTTCACGGCGGCCCCTCATTTTCGTTTGAATGTCCTTAGCTTCGCCAGCTTTTGGCCAGCCATATGTCGATATGGCGAGCGGGTAGCACGAGAGCCCCGTGACTCGTTTCTTACCTTGATGCCAACTATTTCAGGTGTTGAAATGAGTGTATAATTTTCAGACATTCGTCCTAACTTACACCTACAACAAATACAACTTCGTCACAGCATGACTCAGGCGCGGCCTGATCTTTTCCATCGCCAGTGACTTGGCATCAAGCTCGAAACAGCCCAACGCTTTTCTTTGGTGAACACATCAGATGGCCAGAACCAAGCATCATTTCGTTGGCCATCGTTGGCCACAGTCCAGACTTCGCCTCACCAAGTTGCACGCCCGCCATTTGTCATGAACTCAGGGCTGTGTCTGCGTGTGTGTGTGTGTGTGTGTGTGTGTGTGTGTGTGTGTGTGTGTGTGTGTGTGTGTGTGTGTGTGTGTGTGTGTGTGTGTGTGTGTGTGCGTGGGTGCGTGTGCTCTGTTTTCGCTGTGGTGTAGGGCGGAAAGTCGATCCCCGTCTTCTTCTTTTTTTAGGGTTTCTTCGGAGCGCTTGTTTCGAGCCATATCCATTATCCTCACTGACTCAAGCCCAAAGCCAAGCTCCGGTTTCCCTTGACAGGGTCCAGAAGCACTTTCGCCTAAGGCGTGGGCTTTTTACGACCCAGGTTGGACATGTTTCCCGAAAGATCCCGAAAGTGTTGGGCGATTCAACGGACCCAAGAGGAAATGTTTGTTTCCGTGGCTGGGTGCAACATCATGCCGCACGCCTTTGGCAAGCAACACAGAAACGAGGATGTCCGAACAAAGCGATGCCCACACACCCGCGCACCCAAACCGCTTCTTTGTGGCCACGCCGCAGCATGCCTTCAAAGTGGCTGGCCTTTGTTGCAACTTCTGTATCGCAAGTATTGCTTGGCGTTCCCAGCCATGCATTTAGGCTACAGGACTTAGAAGGAATATCATCCCACTAAAATATTTAACTTACCCAATTTAGCAAGTGATGAACGGACCGCTCAGTTTCCGCGTCGTTTAAATTTTAACGCCTCCGGCTCAGGCCGCCGACATTACAGGCCTGCTTTCTTATATGTGTTTTTTTGGAATTGTCTCATTGGAAGTTTCCCTTGGGTACTTTCCCATTTGAATTATCCCATTGGAATTCTCCCATTCGAAGTCTCCCTTAGGACATTTCCTTTGGCAATTTTCGCATTGGAAGTTTCTTTTTGATGTTTTTCCCTTTGGAATTTTCACGTTAGAAGTCTCCCAGTGAAAGTCTCCAATTCGACGTTTCCCTTTGGAATTTTCCCTTTGGACATGTCCCATTGAAATTGTCCAACTGGAATTTTCCCTTTGGAATCGTCCCATGAGAAGTTTCCCTTTTGACTTGTCCCCCTTAGATTCGTCCCCTTTAGATTGTCCTTTGAGACGCCCGTCCCATTTCTCCCATGAGAATTCTCCCATTCGGACCCTGACCTTTGGAATTCTCCCATTGGAAGTCTCCCACAGAGGGTCAAATGAAGGGTCTCTCTTCATGGAAATTTCATGGAAGGTTCATGGGAAGTTCATGCCTTGTCCTTTGAGAATTCGCAAATTGCAATTGTCTCTTTGGAATTGTCCCATTTCTCCCATGGGAATTCTCCCATTGGACTTTTCCCTTTGGGATTCTCTATTCATGGGAAAGTTCATGGACAGTTCATGGCAAGTTCCTTGAAAGTTCATGGACAGTTCATGGGACAGTTCATGGAAAGTCCTGGAAAGTTCCTGAAAAGTTCATGGACACTTCCTGGAAAGTCCCTGGAAAGTTCTCGAAAATGTCATGGACACTTCCTGGAAAGTTCCTGGAAGTATGATGGAGACTTCCTTTAACGTTTCTGGAAAGTGCATGGAAAGTTTATGGAACCTTTCTGCAAAGTTGCCGGAACAATAGGTCACTAAGGTTTTAAGATTGTACGCCATTCAGTTTTTTCGAGTTTAATCCATTAGGATGTTCAAGCAATTTAGATTTGACAATTGCCAGCCATTATAATTTTCAGACTATAAGGCCATTAAGATGTTATCACGTTAGGCCACTCCAAGGTTTTAAGATTGTAAGCCACTCAGATTCTCAGAGTTTAATCCTTTAGGATTTTCAGTGTTGCAGCAATTCATTTGTCTAATATGTCCAGCCATTATTTGTTTAACACGTCACGCAGCTAAGATTTTAGGGTTTCAGCCAGTACATGTTTTAGATTTTATGGCAGTATTTGTTTTAGCCACTCAACCACAAAGGTTCTAAGATTTTACTCCATCAAGATTGTCAGGTTTGAAGGCGTTAATATTTCAATATTGTAAGCCATGACTATTTTCAGATTTTGAGCCATGAAGATGTTAGCATGTTAATCCACGAAGGTTTTAAGATTGTAAGCCGCCGCTCAGATTTACAGAGTTTAAGCCATCAGTATGTTCAGGTGTTCAACCAGTATTTTTTTTGTGATTTTAGCCATTAATATGTTAGCACGTTAACATCTAAACATCGTAATAGCTGAGCATCTTGGATGCAGGACGCGAATGCGGACCCTTCATGTGACCCTTTGCGCCCTTTTTGTTCCACGATGTCATCCAGATAATGCCACGCTCGCGATGTTGCGCAGAAGCTGCTAAAGATGCAACAGCGGACTAGTGGGGAATCGAACCCCAATGTTTTTGCGACTGGATTTAACCTACCAAAAAGGAACGTCTGGGGATCACCGCGTGGTACGTGGCCACCCCCCTGGGGCGCAACAGTCCGAAACCCTGCCCCAGGAGGGATAAAGAAGTAAGGAGCATTTCTTGTGTCCAGCACACCATCTGTTGTCGGCGGATAGAAATGGTTTGGCCAAGCTGAAGGGATTGACATTCTGCAGCCAACATCGGCGCTCTGTTCAAGATTGCCCAATGTTTATCCAATCTATCACTGTGAGACCAGCAACTCGAAATGGGTTCCATTTTGCGTTGAGATTGCAAGGGAAGCTGCGATGCCACAGTTCTAACGGGATCGAGCCAAGGGGGTTGGATGAATGCAACAAGTAACATGAGATCGGAGCTGCGGTGGTTGTCTAAACGCATCCTCACCATCGTGAGGAACGATCATTTCAAGAAAAACACATGCGGGTGACCACTTTCATGTGGAGCCTTCCCGAGTTGGAACACATCTTAAATCCACGACCTTTGCCATGTTGCCAACGTTAGTCCAACAGCAGCTCAACCCTGAACCTGGCTTCGCCATTGGCATTTGCCGCGAAGCGGGCGCTGGAGGCACTATGGCATCTTTGATGTGGACCTTAGTGCTCTTGCTTTTGGTCTTCTACTCATTTGCCGTGATTTTCACTCAGAGCCTTTGGCCTGAGGGGGATGTGCCACGGAATGGAAGCTGCACATTGACAAGTCTCATACACCTGGTGGGTTTGTCCTAAAATAGGGAAGCCTCCCAAAATGGCTGGGTAGAGCCAGAAGGGGGTTTCCGGATTTCCCACACAATGAGACAGCCATTTACGGAAGCCTTTGACCGGCAAACCTCCAAAGCCAAAAAAACCAATCCACTTTGGGTATGTGCCGAAATGGGAGGACTCAAAATGGGTGGTTTCCCTTTGGTTTCCCTTTCACCAACCCGACATGGCACTTGGCCTCAAACCAACGCAGCCCCATCTTACTAGCCCTGTTCAGCCACAGGGTTAGAGGGTCGGGAGAAAAGGCTTTGTCAATTGCATTACGTAGCATAAAGCTGAGCATTCAATCACAATTGTGCATGTGCATACCGATGGGATGTTATTGCTTTGTGTGGTTCTATTTGATTTTTTGATGCCACATGTTTGTTGTTGGGGATATTGCAGTGGATAAGAGCAAAGGATCATCTTGCTGGTGGTCGGCTTTGGGAGGAAATGCACGACCCACACGAATCTGCAACATACATTGAGTCGTTTGTTGCATGGCCGTGTTCCCATGCCGCATCTGTCCAGTGGCAGAGGCTCACTCCACACAGCCACGAGGATCTGCTAGCCCGAAGCGGCTGCATAGTTCTGAGCGAGGATCATTTCTGCGCAGATTCTTTCCAGCTCACCTGGCAGGGTAAACGAGCTCACCCATGGCGAAGCTTCCTTTTCCGGAGAATCCCTTATCCCTTAAGTCCAGCTGGGCAGCATTCGGTTTCGCATAGCATTTGCTTGCTTCCCCCTCGTGGGCGAGCGAGCCTCTTGTGTTTACAATTCCTCCAAACAGGTGAATTGTGAGCCACCGAGAGCGTCACCGTGCCAAGACTTGTGTAGAAAGTGGGTGCGTGATGGCATGGTCAACCTTGTTTCGTGGAGTTTGACTTCCAAGGGATCCCGGCCATCACCATTGCAAGAAACTTGCAGATGTTTGACCATGGGAATGTGGCTGGAGAGGCTGGAGAGGAGCCATGTTTTGACAAGAACGCTGGCGCCCAGGATTGTTTCGGACCACTGCCGCTTCGAAACCGTCCAGCGGACTGGGGATGCCAATGCCATCCCAGAGCCACGGCCGACTGACATGCCCACACCACTCTGTTGTTCTGCCGAACTGCGCAATGACTCTGTGAGCATTGTGTATATATTTATATACATCTCTTTGGTGGTTCAAACATACCTCAAACCGGAGTGGATGGCATTAGCCTGCCGCCCGCTTCCGACTTAACTTGTCCGATATCGTGACCTCCATGGGAGATGGCGGGTAAAACCCGACTGCTTGTTTCATGTTCTCCTGGATTTGATGAACTTGTTCCAAATGTGCACAGGAAACCGCCGAAAGGATATGTGCCATCAAGGGCCAAGAGGAATCTATGGGACCAGATTAGTGGCCCTGTTTACTTTACTGGTCTTCCAAAAGAGTCAGCTGTTTCGTGCGGGGAACAGCCCAGCTACGTGCCGAGTCGCACGCGTCAGGAATGCAGCGCTGAAGCCGAGAGGTTCTTCGCCTCGGTGCCGGAGACGATGCTCACGCTCTTCATGTCCATCTCTGCGGGAGTGAACTGGACACTTCGCAGTAAAAACCCGCGGGGGCGCCTTTCATAATTTGAATTTTGCTTGAACAGCAGAACCCACGGGACCCAGTCGATTGGTTTTGGGCCCTATTTCGAGCATCCCCAATTGGTCACCCCAATTATTACAACCAGGACTACCAAGGGGGCCTAAAGACTTTAAATGGCTTTGGGGGCTTGAAACAGCAAATTATGATGCAAATATTTTGTAATGCTTTTCTAACTGTGTGCTCCTCATATTACATGTGCGTCAAGCATGCAGAATATCGCTTTTGAACGTTCCAAGTTTCAGTTTTGATTCCCAAAAGGTTTAGCGTTTAAGTTTGCCGTTTCTGTGGACGAGCCAGTGCAGGGTCTGGAGTTTGGGCGCAAAGCAGCCGCCCTGCTGATTCTTTGTCAGGCCCGCATTTATTCCTGTTCTACGTGACAAAAACAAGTCTAAATCTAGCTTTCTCTTTGTTGCGTTGTTGGGTTGAGAGGCTCCCAGAATTCCGCACATATAGAATCACACTGAGGGCAACTGGAGGCAAAAACGAGCTCTCTTACTGGGCCAAAGTCAAAGAATTCCTGGCCGTTTCCCCCGTCAAGGCGCACTGCCGAGTGCGGTTCAGCCGAATCGGCCACTTCTGGTCCGTCCCTTTGGTCAGCTGGTTTGGCCACGCAGAGGAGCAACCCAAAAGAGACATGCTTATTGTTGTCCGTTTCGCGGGTGTGCGTTAAATGGCCCCAAAGTACAGGATCCTCACGTGACGGGGACACCCTCGTATAGGGTTATTCGGGTACGCGTCCTGGGTACCTAAAAGCTGTTGTGGCTCATGTTCATGCTTGTTAGCTGTCAAGCAGTGCCTTGGGCAGAAATTCCCGTGGAGTCGTGGGAGTCATGCTTTACCGGAGGGCAACAAACCCTTTCGACCTTTGTCCGGCAGAGAGGGAACTAAAGAAGTTCCCCCAATGTTGCTGTGCGTGCATCGTTCAAAGCCTGATCTCAGCTTCTAAACATTTCCATAAGCCTGGAGACGGGTGCTGTGCGCAGGCTACCTGCCAAGCGGGGATCCCACAAAAACGGCACGAAGGGTCCGCTTTTCCCACCCCGCCAGTTCGAGGTTGGAGCAGCTTCCCCGAATCGCAGAACTGCTTTGCTGCAGGTATCCTCACATCATTTGTTAGTTGTCCGTAGGATGCCCAACCCCTCTCTTGGGGGTTGTCTAACCCCGCGCGGAGTTTCATTCAATGGACCCGGCAAGGGTCACAGATGGAAGCTGTTTAATGCGGTGAGTCTCAAGAGTCCGTCAGGCCCGCAACAGCTGAAGCCGCCACCCCTCATCATTTGAACCAACACAGTGATACGGGTGACTGGAGGTAGGGGCGCTGGGCCGACTTCCAACCTGAAGACAGAACCACCGAGTCCTCGTCGTTGATTTTGGGTGTGCTCTTTGACTACCGGATTTTGGTAAGAACTCGTCCATGCTGCGAGCTCACATATCGTAACTCTCCATGCAGGCGCACTTGAAGTGCGCTTTGGCACTCTAGCTCGGCCGCCTTGCTCGTAATGCACAGCAGCTCTGACACGCAACAAACAGTCGCAAATGCTTTGATGCCGAGGAACGAGCCGCTGGGAGTCTTGAGGGAGATATCCTATGTGGCCGCTTTGCTTTGACCACTGCCCACCCCTGAGTCACGCTTCCACATTCTTACTTCTCGGGACCCCCACTATGAAGAAATGTGTGTTTAATGTTTTGTAAATGGCAATTGAACAAAGGAAGTGCTGAAAGGACCCACCAATAAGGGCTGTCTGAAGTTTAGATTTGGTTTAGTACTGGGTCAACTAAAAGTGAACGGGGGATGATGTCTTTTTCTGCGTTTGGGTCTGACAAACTATTCATTAATAGGGGTGGATGTAATGATGAGGGGGCGGGAAAGCGCTAAAGTCACCCGACGCGAAAAAGCAAGGGGCATCACTACTCCAGAGGGTCTGCCGGATTCTTGAGTTCAGTGCCGCATGTTTTTGCTTCTTGGGGAAAACAATTTGAGCACGCAATCTACTGTCATCAGTGCAAGACCCAACCCACCACGTTGCCCTTCTGGCGTTTTGTGGTCATTTCATCTTTTCCGTCCAACACCAAGAAGTTATGTTTGTAAGGGGTAAGCGTGCAAGCTTGATACATCACCGCATCTTCAGAGGTTGCTTGTGCAGCTTAAGCTTGGGGCTAACGGCATCATTCTCCTGTGCAATGTGGCATTTTCCATTCGGCTGAAGACAACATGGCCGGAGCCCACAGTCCAACGGGTAAACCGGAAGCTGACTGCATGAGTATTGAGTGTGGACTGTGTCACAGTGGGTACCCCTTTCTGGTGGAATCAACGCTTCAAAAACAAAATCTCCGCTGCCAGGTGACTTTTAGCGGAACAAAGGTGGCGTTCGCTCTTAAAGACTCTCTTTTGGCATGTTGCGTTGAACTCACACATTTCCGCAAGTCCGCGCTTTTTTGGTGAAGCTGGCGCCTTCGTTCGGTTTCACTCCTGCTTTCTCGTTGTTTGTCCCAACATGGTCTGTGGTGGTCGGCGTTGGCAATTGACTAAAAACATGCAGATGTCTCCTTCCTATTCGGGATGTTTCCAGGAATGCACAACTGCGTATCTCTTGGAGAGTTTATGTCGTACATGGGTTGCATGTTCGGATCGTGTTTCAGGCTGCTGAATGGTAGACCAGCAGAGATGTCGTTCAATGGCACACATTATCCAACACAATCCATTGTCCTGCTTCCCATTGTCTCCTCCACATCATTATCCCCAGACTCCTTCCCTTATCCACTCCTGCACCTTTCTGACTCGCGGTCTCCAAAAAGAGAGAGAGAGAGAGCGAAAAAGCGATAGGTAGATAGATAGATAGATAGATAGATAGATAGATAGATAGATGAATAGGAAGAGAGATAGATAGATAGATAGGCAGGTAGATACATAGATAGACAAATAGACAGATAGATAGTTGGCTAGTTTGATAGATGGAGAGATGGATATATAGAAAGAGGAAAGAAAGAAAGAAAGAAAGAAGGAAGGACGGAAGGAAGTAATAGAGGAAACAAAGAAGGCAGGAAAGTGGGAAGGACCAAAGAAAGAAAGGCAGGAAGGAAGAACGACAAACTGCCGGTGCGTAGTGCAAGTGCGAGTGCCAGCAGTGCAAGTGCAACAGCTAGCCAGCGCTCCAATTCAGGCCGTTCGCTGTGCATGGCCGCACCTGCATTGCTTGCTGTTTGCTTTTTGACTGTCACCGATCATGTTCTTGCTAAAAAATGGATTGCAAGTTCTCCGCAATGAAGTTGTTCCCCTTAGTCCAAACACTTCTCCTCCTAGAGGTACATAACCCCTTCAAAAGCTTCCGCCACCCAGCTTCGCTGGAGCATACTGGTATGATGACATTGGCCGTGGTTCCAGAATCTGTCAAGTATGCCAAGACTGCACTTTGACATGTTTTCTAGGCGTTGCCGGTCGCTTGACCTGAGCGTAACCCAACGGGCCGCTGAGGCCCTGCTTTTCATGATCATGTTTATCGTTATCACAGTTTTCGCAGTCATGAACGTGGTGACCGGTGTGCTGCTTGGCTCTGCATGGAGCTACATGGGGCGGTTTGTTTCAAGCGCATCCCGACCATGGGTGTCTTCCATTTGGGTTTGCACTTGAATAGCAACCCCGGACCGGAGAAGGAATGCTTGAAAGAAGACAGCCAGTTGTTGCGACAACCGGGAGCTTTCCTTTCAAAGACAGTGTCTCAACACTGCTGTACGCGTGTGAAATACTGTTTGAGGTTGCGGCTGGTGTCTTGGGTGCCTACTTTGCCTATTTGTGTTTTGCTCCGTGTTTTCTTAGAAGGTCTTGGGGAAAGTGTGTTTCTCGCTTTGGAAAGAACCTTCTGCCTGGCAGACCTGGTTGATTGGTTGATTCATTGGTCAGGAGATGCTGGACAGTTACATCTGCGAATCTAGCCTAAAACACCTGAAGAAAATCTGACAACTGTCTATATCAGCTCCAAACCCTTCAAACATCAACCCGCCACCGACTCGAAATATATGATAATTTCTGTGAGTTTAGCGCCATTCTGAATCAGCCCACAAAACCATCCCATCCGAACCACGACGGACTCATCCCAAGCGGAACCCTAGCCCTGCTCCCCGCCAAACCAACTTTCGGCAACTGACCCACCCTGCATGTGCGCTTCATGCAAGCGAAACAAACTTCTTGCTGCAGCATCCTCTGCTTTATGCGCACTTTATGTCCCATCATACCCTACCTTTGGCTGGAGTCCCAACTTGTTTGCTTGAATGGGTCTTTCCAATGGACCTTTGAGGGAGTTTATTGGGACGAGGGCAAGCACCATTCACGACAAGCCCACCTGCTCAGCCTATCACAGTTTGTCTTTGGTTCGGGATGAGGATGGTCGAGGTGGGGTGCGGGCGCTATCTTCCCGAATCCAGGACTAAGAGGAACCCCCGCAAATTTGGGAACTGACATGTCCAGTTCCTTGCGCCTGACTGTTCAATTTGGAGGTTGTTCCTTTTGTTGGACCCCCAGCCCGATTTTGTTAAAACTAGTCGCAAGATAAGATGTGGGTCAAAACGCGGATTTGAGGCTGGAACAAAGAACGGGCCGGGTGCCTTTTGTGCAGATGGCCTCTTTGCCGTCAGGTTCTGCAACACAGCAATCGAAAGCGCGCATGCTGACAAGGAGTGCGGTGGTCGCTCACTGAGGCAGATCAACAGGGGTTCTCGAAAGTCAGCCGTGTGCAACGCCTGACAAGGCTGCGTCAGAAGTGGGGTCTCCTTCTAAACTACGTTCTATTTGGGGTTGACATGGTTCAACAAATATGTAAGATTGGGGCCAAGATAAGGTAGAGGACTTTTCTTGGCTGCGCATCGACGGCTGATCACTGAGTTTTTTGAGAGAAAAGGGAGACTAAGGGACTCAATGACAGTTGGAGCAGTCAGGTGTCTATCTTCGGATGACGGACAAGGCCTTTTTGCACGTGATCCTTTGAGATCGTTTGCAAGCTTGCTTGTAGAGGGAGCCATGCACATGTCCAATAGGATTCACCGGAATGCAACATTGGACTCAAGCAAGAGGGGGTGCTTGCATTTGCATTGTTGCTTTGAGATCACCAGTTTTGCTCTTGTGTTGATGGTGTTCCCCTTGTTCCACCAACCTGCGTGAGTGCGGGCACGGTTTCTTCTTGGAGCCACAGTGGTGAAGAAACTCAAATAAGCCATCAACGCGAGGAGATTGCTGTCATGATCCAGATTGAGAAGCAGGCCGCCCACGTTAGATCACTGCAGTCCATGTTCAACGCCATCGATACCGACAACTCGACCTTCGTAAACTACGAAGAGCTGAAGGCAGCCATGGAGTCAGAGAGGCGGGATCCGGCCGACAGAGCACCCTTGTCTATTCCAATTACCCCAGGCATACGTCTTATACACATTACACATTTTGGTGTGCCCAAGCATTAACAAGGCGCACACACAATTGAAGTGAAGCAAGGGGTTGCCGTACAGTCTGGTTCAGTTTGCCATTTGCCAGAGACAACTTGAAAGCGGAATTGGTCAATGAGTCGTCAGTCATGCCGACTCATATGATTCGCTTTTGAAATTTATGATTTCTTGATGCTGACGATTATTGATGATGATTAATGGTTCCTTTCAGAATCCCGGTTCGCGCAAGAAACATGTTCGACTGCCTTGCTTGCACAGAATGGGATGCCGTTCCTTAAAAGGCTGTTTGCAAAGCTTACCCACCCACCCCACCCACCCTCACCCACCTCACCCAGCCACCCACCCACCTCACCCACCCTCACCCACTCACCCACCCACCCACCCACCCATCCATTTACCCACCCAGACACAGCAGTCAAGGAAGGAAGCAAGCAATAGCCGGCCTCTTGCTTTGTGAGCTCGGAGACATTCGTGGATCTTACAGCGTGCAATCTTCCGACTTCCTCGTTCCAAAGAGGTGCCCGTTGTGCTTGTGACTCACATGAAACATGGCTGCCAACATTTTTGGTTGCATGGGATGGTAGGAGTTTCTCATGGGGACACCTGTCAAAATATGGATGTATCAACCAAACCTCCCGTGGCTATGTGGAGCTGGAATGTGGTGGTTGTATCCATTATGCAAACAATGTTGATTCGCCAACAAAGCCATAAGTGTATTGGCGTATTATATTTTGCTGACCTGGAAAAACATTCACACGCACACAGACAGATGCTCAAGATAGACGTCTTCTATGCATGGTCATTTCCTCTACTCTTCAGAACGACTTCGGATAAATAGCAGTATCTAGCGGTACGGAGCCCTGTCTCTGGAAAATGTTTTGTTAGGATGGATTATGTTTTCTGTGTCTCTTTCTCAATACTGGACTTAGCGTACCTTGTTGCCCATTTGCCGTCTTGGGTTTTCCACATGTTCCCTTTCAACCACCAAAACGTTGTCTTTTTTGCAAGTGGTCTATCTAAGTCGGGCCAAGCACTGTCAGTAGAGTTACATCCATAGACTATGGAACCTGCCTTGTGTGCTATTGCTGCCAGTTTCCAGACTTTCCTGTGAGGCGTAGGGGGATTCACAGACACGCTCATTGTCCCGGCCTGAAACTGAGCCGTAGACTGAGCCATTAGCTTCCATGGCCCTAAAGGGGTCCGTTGAACCAGGGTAAAAAGTGCAACAAGAGGCAAATTTCAGGGCCATTAGCTTCCATGCCCCTAAGGGGTGCGTTGTGGACGAATCACAGCAGACCAAACCCAGGCTGACCTTCACCCGTTTTTTGTGAGCTTGCCCAGCTCCAGGCTCGCGAGCTTTTTGGAGTCCATGGAGATTGAGACCCACGACGCAGCCCGGGCAGTTTTTGGTTTTCGGGGGAGGCGTGTCATTGTTTTGTTTCTGGCTTTTTTTTTTTTGTTTTTTCTTGTTTCTTCTTTTTGTTTGTCTGGCTTTTGGGGTCCTGGACTCAAGAAAAGCTGTTTGGGATTCTTGGACACTTTTGGGTCAATGCATGTGGATGTCCACAGCCATCTCGGACACGTCAAAGCCGGCTTGGCGCGATGGCCAGTCTAGTTGAAACGAATCTTCCGGAGTTATCATGTTGGAGGAAGAAGCATCGTGATTATCCATGCTGCACTGGCCGGTTAGGCTTCAAAACGATTGGCCATGGATTTGTCCTCAATGCAGGCGTGTTTACCCCGATTGTTTGAGCCTTGGATTGTGAGTCGCGCTTCTTTTGCCCAATTTCCCGGAGGCGGTGATTATGATTGTGGTTTGTTCACAAGCGATGGGGTTGGGTTGCACCTCGCAGATTTACGAAAGCATGCTGCTCAAGCATCGCTTGGGGATGTTTGCATTTGCACAGATCTGGAATATCAAAAAGTGTTTGCATTACTTCAGCGTTTGCGCTTGCCTTGCAACCAGCCAACCGGCTCGCTGTGCACGGCATTCTTTCGATATTGAATATGCCGCGGGCGATCGAAGATTTCAGCGGAAACCGAGAGGAATGAACACGAAAGACAACTCACCTTTTGTTGCTGGAAGCTTGGGCCGAAGGAACTTTGCTTCATGGCCCACTCTGGCGCAGATAGGTTCGCAAGAAGGGCCATCGGAAGGAATGTGTTCGCAGAAGCGAGCGTGGTTTAGAGCTCCTTGCTTTCACGTAGCATATAGGTCTTTCAACTGGCCTCGCACTTCTTCACAAATACGGCAGTTATCGCGGAACTCGCGAAAGCTTGTGGAAGCGATTTACTCCATCCGACTCAGTTGTTTTGTTGCTGCGGCACTTTTTGGCGCCGGAGAAGAGACCTTTTTGACCTTCTTTTTTTAAAACATGCGATTCAACCGACACCTTCCTTGTACTCAGTCTTTTTAAAAGCAGCACACGCATGGTCAGACCTGTCTGCGGAAGGAAAGGGAAGCTCGCCATCACAAGCATGAGCCGCTCAGAATATAGCTTCCGGCCTACGCAATGCGGAAGGTTTAGTGGGAGCAATAAGAGACGGGGTTCCCTCATGATATTTGGTGGTTTGAACATCTCGGCTCCTTGAAGTGCGTGGATACACACCCACCACTCTGTTGACCAAAGCTGACCTTTGCGCCTTAATTTTTTCCGGAGTGCGTAGCAAAGGGTTCCGGTTGATAAGTGGGGGTCTGGCGGTTGGAGGCCGTGTTCGCGAGGAATTGTTCCAGAGTTCGCAACCGTTCGCAGTTCGCAACCGTCCGCGGTGAGTCGATAAGCGTGTGCCATTGGGATTGCCGCAACAAGTGACTTTTTGATGAGTCTTGAAGCGCTGAATTCGCTGCGCCTGTGCGTGAATTGTGTCTCTTGTTGCGCTGCGTTTCAATTTGCTTCGTAGGCGCGGTGTGCGTTCTCGTTGCCGTGCCATTGGGATGTGCGATGCGGGGTAGTCGTCTTCCCCGTAAGCGTGTCAAAGCTGGATTTTGTGGCAGGTGCCGCGCTTTGGAGGATTTTGAGTTCGCGGCAAGCTTACTTTGCGTGACAGGCGCAGCACTTCAGCGTGTCGCTTTAATTTCGTGGCAGTACCTTGGCGCCTGGGTGCAGATGTGGTGGCAGGCACTTCAGTTCGAGTGGTCTGATCACTCTCGCTGTGGCGTGGTGCGCATTTTGAGCGCGCAAAGTGAACCCTCTGCGCACTTTGGGCGGGTCGAATCGCTCTCGCTGTTGCGCGGCGCGCGATTTAAGACAAGAGATGTGGCGAGAGACGCGACAAGATGCGTTTCTCAGAAGCGTCGATCCGAAGTGTTGCTCACAGGTGTCGATTACAAATCTTGCTCAAAAATGCCTCGTCAAAGTGTCGTTCAGAAGTGTCGCTCAGAAGTGTAGATCAGAAATGTGATTCAGAAGTGCTGCTCAGAAGTATCGATTGAAAGTGTCGACTGGGACTGTCGTGTTGCTCCGAGGTGTTGCTCAGAAGTGTCAGTCAGAAGGGTTGATCAGAAGTGTGGCTTAGAAGTGTCGTTGCTCAGAGGTGTCGATTGCAAGTCTTGCTCCAAAATGCCTCTTAGAAGTGTCGTTCAGAAGTGTCGCTCAGAAGTGTAGAAGTGTAGATCAGAAATGTGATTCAGAAGTGCTGCTCAGAAGTGTCGACTCAAGGTGTCGACTAGGAGTGTTGTGTCGCTCAGGGGTGTTGCTCAGAAGTGTTGATCAGAAGTGTCGATCAGACGTGCTAATCAGAAGTGTTGCTCACAAGCATCGATCATCAATGTCGATCAGACCTGTTGGCCAGAGGTGTTGCTCAGAAGTCTTGCTCGGACGTCTTGCTCAGAAGTGTCGACCGGCAGTGTTGATCACAAGTGTTGCTCAGAAGTGTGGCTGATTAGTGTCGCTCCGAAGTGTTGGTCAGAAATGTCGATCAGAAATGTCGAACAGACATGTTGCTCGGAAGTGTCGATCAAAAGTGTCGAGCAAAAGTGTCGCTCAGAAGTGTCGATCAAAGCGTCGATCAGCAGTGTCGATAAGAAGTTGCAGAAGTGTTGCTCAGAAGTCTTTGCTCAGAAGTGTCGGTCAGAAGTGTTGCTCAGAAGTGTACATCAGAAGTGTTGCTCAGAAGTGTCGACCAGAACTGTCGGTTAGAAGTGTTGCGCAGAAGTGTCGCGTTGCTCAGAAGTGTTGCTCGGAAGTGTCGCTCACAGTGTCGCTGATGCGCGTGTGTGTGTGTGTAGAAGTGTGGCTCAGAAGTGTCGCTCAGAGGTGTTGCTCAGAAGTGTCGCTGGGAAGCGTGGATTAGAAGTGTCGCTCAGAAGTTCCGATCAGAAGCGTTGCTCAGAACTGTCGTTCAGAAGTGTCGCTCACGAAGTCTTGCTCAGATGTGTTGCTCAGACGTGTTCCGCAGAAGTGTTGCTCGGAAGTGTCGGTCAGAAGTGTCGATCAGGATCGTTGCTAAGAAGTGTGGCTGATACGTGTCGCTCAGAAGTGTTGCTCAGAAGTGTTGCTCAGAAGTGTTGCTCAGAAATGTCGGAGTGTCGCTCAGAAGTGTTGCTGATGTGTGTAGAATTGTATGTGGCTCGCTCAGAGTTGTTGTCAGCAGTGTTGCTCAGGAGTATCGCTCAGAAGTGTTGCTCGGAAGTGTTGCTCAGAGGTGTCGCTCAAAAGTGTCGCTCAGGAGTGTCGCTCAAAAGTGTCGCTCAGATATGTTTGTAGCAATGTCGCCCGAACTGTCGCTTAGGTGTGTCGCGTCGCTCAGAGGTGTTCGCTTATGTGTGTAGAGTGCGCCGTAGTTTGTCGCTCAGGAGTATGGCTTCAGGATTGGCGCTTGACGCTTAGATGTGTCAATCAGAGGTGTCGCTTAAGAGCGTAAATCAGCTTGTAAGTGTGAGTGCAGAAGTATCGCTCAAGTTGTCGCTCAGGTTTGTCGCTCAAGCTCTTGCTCAGAAGCGTCTCTGAAAAGTGTCAGTGTGACAAAAGTCGCTTTCGAGTGTTAAGTTCAAGAATGTTTAGTGCCGTTTGAACGGCCGGTCAGAAGCCCAGAAGCGTCGCTCAAAGCATGGCTCCAGCTGGACAACATTGCTCGAGTTGACGAAATGCACATTCCCAAAGCCATGTTCGTGGCTTCTATCAGGTTTCTCCCTCCCGCGCATTTTGGATTGTAGTTCAGTAAGAACCTTGTCAGGTGCTGAACCTTTTCCGCATCATCGATGCGGATGAGAACGGGTTGATTGATTTGAACGAGTTCGTGAGCGGTTGCATGCAGTTGCACGGCCCAGCCAAAAGCTTCTCGGACTCAATGACCCACGTCGAGGGCTGCGTTTGGCTTGTGAGATGAGGATGAGATGCGGCACACTTACCAGAATGCCAATATTGACTCACTCGCTAGCTCAAAAGCTTGACCGAAGCGAGTTGACATTTGAAACTGGCACTGGTAATGTTCAATTTGAAGCAGCCACATCATGACTCTGAAAGGTTATGTATACATACATGTTTTTGGACAACAATGTCCTTGTTGTGCATTCGGCGTTTGATGCCGGAGCCTTTTCTCCGAATTCAGCTTCGCAGTTTGTTTAGACAACGTAACATTGACATGCACAGGTTATTCCAGAAACTGTGCACAGCCCCCAACACCAGTGTCCGTTTTGAAGTGGGATGGGTGGGATGGGAAGACAAACAGATCCACGAGCTGAGGTATCCAGATGGCGCAGATGAGCCACGAGAATAAGCTCACCAGACGGGCTTTGAAAACGATGCTTGGAAAAGCAGGGACAGTGCATGCCATTGATGTTTCAAGCAAGCCAGCCACATTGGACATTTCCAGACTTTCCCTTGTTCCCTTCTTGAAGTGTTTTGGGCATCCACTGGATGAAGTTTTGGTGGAGGGTATGGTTGTGTCCTTTTTGCAAATTGAGCTGAGGTAGTGGATTCTTCTGGGGCTTACTGTATCCTGTCTTTTCTTAGACTCAGTGAGTGGCACTGTTTTCTCCATGTCGCCTGAACATCATATGCACTAGCAAACTCGGTCAGGGATCAGTTTCGATGAGCGGGTCTTCAGGTCATCCTTGAGCTGAGCAACCAATACTTCGTGGCGACGCGAGAGTGTAGCCATATGAGTCGGAAAAAAAAAAAAACGTTGTATGTGTCAATGTAACGCATGATCCCAGGTCTTTCGGACCTATCAAATTAGCTGCACCGCCGCTTTTAATTTGAATGGCAGGAGTGTGTTGCAGGAGCGGCCGCGCAAGTCAAACATGGGGCCGCGCAAGTAAAGCGCAAGTGAAGCGCAAGTGACGCAGTGATGATTCATCATCATCATCATCATCATCATCATCATCATCATCATCATCATCATCATCATCATCATCATCCGCATGGTCGAAAGAATCCGGAAGATTGCTAAATTTTCGCGCAAGTCGCGCGCAAGTCGCGCGCAAGTCGCGCGCAAGTCGTAGATGCCTTGGATCAGGAGTGGCCCATTTCTGTAGTTTGCATTTTCTTTGTTTCTGCAGATCCCAGCAATGAGTTGCAGCAGCCAGCAGCAGCAGCAGCAGCAGCCAGCAGCAGCAGCCGCAGCAGCAGCAGCCAGCAGCAGCCGCAGCAGCCAGCAGCAGCAGCAGCAGCAGCCAGCAGCAGCCAGCAGCCAGCAGCAGCAGCAGCAGCCAGCAGCAGCAGCCAGCAACAATTTGCAGCGGTGTACACAGCTGAGACCTCATAAACTTAAGGGGCATGTTTTTGGGGGACCTCACTCTTATGAAGACCGCCGCTTGGATTTGCAATGAAAACATCCTGGGATAAGAGTTTTAATACGTTTTTTTTTTTTTTTTTTTTTCAGCTCATATGTAGGATAGTGGTAGTATTTGGCCTACAAATAAACGTCGTTGTGGAACCCGGAAATGGGCCCCTTTTTCCAGAAAGGAGATTCCTTTGAGAATGGACAGGCTGTTCGGGAACCCATGTCATCCATGTCTATCTACAGGGGAGAACCTGTCCGGCTTTTTGTGCACGCCAGGCTTGCTTTGGAATCTGGATTCAGTCAAGGACCGGTCAAGTGTTGATTTGGTGTGTTAACTCAGCCCGTTGATTTCTCTAGACATATCATACATGAAGGCTCGCAGCTGCCGACGATCTCCCAAGTATAGCAAGTAAGCTAACTAATTGTGCTTGGTATTCCTGTATTGCTTGCAATATGTCGGAAACCAACCCATTTTCCGAAGGTGTCATGCGCGTGGATTAAAGCTGAGGATGGCTGATCACCTCACGGAGATCCGAGAAAAGGTGATCGTCCTCTCCCATTCGATGGACACATTTGATTTGACATAAACCGAGTGACGAAGTCAAGTGAAGCTTGGAGCGACCACGGCTGGCTGATCCAATTGCATCAGTCTGAGCTCTAGGTGTCTCACTGTTGAAACAGAACCAACTACCTCTCCATGTCTAGCCCCATGCAACACAGTTTCAAAGACTGTATTCATTTATGCTGCCTTTGCCAAAGTGAAACAGGATGAACTTCATATGATTCCGACCTTATTCCCTGGTCATTAGCCTGGGCTTTTGAGGGAGGTGTTCAGCGGAGGGCAAGCAAACGAAAGGGCACGCCCTTTGCTGATTTCTTGCGACCAGGCCAAGAAATTGGCTGCGATGTTCCTGATTTTTGCATTGGAGTGGCACAAGCCGCAATCGAAGAACACATTGCCCAGCGGTTCCGTGGTTGGTTCTATGTACTTGGAGATTTGCAAGTGATTTCCCCATAACATATTAAGCTTTTATGATTCACCTAGGTGGATGCGCTCTTTCATTCACTGGCCTAGAGCGAGGCATCCTGTCAGAAGAAATCAGCCGCAGTGAAGCAGTACAAACGAGGACAACAAAAGCACGGTTTCCATGTTGCGCAGGCGTTTGCTGGTATTTGTGAACCTGTGGATGCACATCTGCTAGCAAATGCAGCATATGGCGATTCACAAAACATGTACTAGCGGTTCAGCTTGTCATAGTTACTTGTTGGAAATGGAACCCAAGAGGTCTCAAGAGCATACAGCAGTTGGCAGTCGTAAAGCTTGGTGCAGCTCAGCGATCGTTGAATCAAGCAAGTTGTTATTTCCCTCCTTTGTGTGGTGAATTCATCTTTCGTCGGTTTGCGATTGGACCGTGGACTCAGCCAGTCGGTCTATGTGCTTAGGGTCCGAACCCCTCGGAGGAAAATGCACTGTGGACAGGGCCTAGCTGCGTTGCAAGGGCCGAAGGGTCAAATGCACCTTAGCAAGTATCTTTCTGAATCAAAAGCACCTCCTGGTCTTGCTTTACCCATTTACCATGCATTTGAGGCCGGGAATACCGAAATTGTACTCGTAAAAACTACGTGGATCATGTGCCCAATACGACACTCCGTTGGGTTGGGGAGGATGGGAATGGGAGATGGCGACACAGGCCATGTGCATTTGCCATACTTGGAGCGTGCGACTTGGCTGGGGCTTACATGCACAAGTGCAGAGGATGAAGCCACACCAACAAAGTGACCAGTAGTGTATATTAACGTATCTGAATCACACCCGTCTCTCATTAGTGAGGTTGGGCATTGTCCAATGTCGTTTGACTTTTCAGCAGAAGTATGCCTGGCCCAGATTTCCTGTCACGTGCTTTTGAGAACGGGTTACGCAATCACCGGTCGGCTTCGGCAAATGTCGGCCAGCCGGTCTTTGCTCGGTGGTCGGACTGGTCATTTTTTGAAAAACAAGAATACGTTACGTGTAATTCACAGCAGGTGCGGGTTTACCAACGGCAACATTCTTGGATACCCATTTCCCATATGGTGTTCTCGTCCGACTGTCCGGCAACGGCTGCATTTTTTTCTCCATCCGCAGCCGCAAACAGGAATGCCAGCTCGCGGTTGCCTTATTTTGGTTTTGGCTGGATCGAGTGGAGCATGGAGATATCATGAGCGACTGAGGAAATGATTGTAGTCTATATTGGGAGGGCCAAACTGGGGGGCCGTCCAGATTCCAGCAAAAACGCGGAGCTTCCCCAAATTCCCCATGTCCTCGATGAAACATTGGCAGATTTGTGCGTTGCTGATACATTCACAGGGGCAAAGGGACGGCACGGTGCAAAACCCAGAGCAGTGATGCAGTTTCTTGTCCTTCGGAATCCGATGCTCTCGTTTTGCAACCGTGTCTCCACCTACAAAGACCAAACCGAGCTAGCACTTTTGCCTGGGACACTGGTTGCATTGCATAACAGTTTGCTTCTGGTTGTAGCCCTATACGGACATCCCTCAGGAAGGCAAGATACAGCTCCTGTCTCAAGATGTCATGTTTTTGATATTCAACGGTACCTCGGCGAATTATAGCGTAAGAACCACCTGAAGAAATAAATGCATGATGAACGACACTTTCTTGAGGGTTTCAGTGTGAGGCCAGATCTTTTGCATCTCCTTCCAACCGTTGTTTCTTTTGGGCGGGGGAGAGGTGCTTTCCTTTTCAACCATCCTGGCTGATGTGTGTGTGTGTGTGACGCATAGAGGACCGATCCAGGCTGGATCCTCGGATGATGTCGTTTGGAGGCACTCGCAAGCTGGCTCGAAGCCCTCGTTACGTGGGAGTGGCCGCGTGGGGGCTGTGGCACCGGCTTCATGCTTCGAGTCGCAAGACTTGGTCTGACCATCAAACTACCTATTGTGCACAGATGAGGTCCGATCAAATATATATATATATATACACATAAATTTTGAGGCATTTCTTCATTTAAATTGCTAACGTCTTGCCATAACGCCTTCAGCCATTCAGGTATATCTTGATTAAACTTAGTTTAGAAGTTAGGAAGTAAGACAGATGTAAGATGCAATCCTAATATATAAATGTACGGCGATAGAGAAGCGAGCGAGTGTCCATCAGAGATATAATGCTTCTTGGATGCATTCTTCCTTGCTAGTCAATAGTAAATATGTCTTAGACGACTCTCCGTACCATGCGTGACCGTTGTTTGGAATCATATTGTCAGAGCAGGAAGCCAAAGCCGACGAGCCGGAACATGGCCAGTGGCGCTATCCCCGCCGGCCAGGCCTTCGTGAGCTTGAGCCGTGGAAAAGAGTCTCTGAGCGTCTCTGACCGTCTCTGGCGGTCTTTTTTCATGGCGCCCTTGGTGAGGTGGTTGAGAAAGGAAGCCACAATTAAACCAGCCATTTTACTGAAAGGGTCCCCTAGTTTTTGCGAACCCGTTTGGCCCAAATGGGAGGTTCAATGCCACCACCTTGAAGGGGCCCAAGAGCTTAGTACCTTTTACACGCTGACCTTCAAATTGTTTTGAGTTCATCCGAGCTGACGCCCCAGAAATGGCTGGCTCTGCTCGTCTTGTGCGCTCAACTGCGGCCTCAGGATTCCAAGCGGCACAAAGTTATCAACACAGGCAGGGCATGGAAGGTCGGGTGTTCATTGTCATGAGCTGGGGACCCTCCAAATGGCTGGATTGTGTTGCCCTGTTCAACCCTCAAACAAAGCAACGGTTTCGTGTTTGCGCTGGTCCATGGGCCCTGTATGGGCGGCTTTCTATTGCTTTGCTTTTGACATGCCCCAAGAATGGGCACCATTACAACACACATTCACACCCAAAGGGCATACCCCAATTCCCCAGGCCTTCATATTGAGCAAAGGCCCAATGGGCGGTGCTTTGTGCTTTGACCTCAGGTTTCTTTTGGTATGTTTTGCATTTTGCGGCCAATGATTTGAGGCTTTGCATGTTTTCCAGTCTGAAACAAATAAATTAGGGCTGGAATCCAGAATACTTCTAAAGCCCCCAGCCCCGCTTGCATGCGAGTCCAGTGCCCCCTATGGTTTCAAGTAAGTCCAAGCGTTGGACAATTACCAGAATCAGTTGGAGCACATTGAAAAACCATCTCATGCCTTTTGTCAGCTGGGCATCCAACGGAACCGGTTTGGAAACTAGCCGCAGTTTGGGCTTAGCCCTGGTTGGTTGGTTGGTTGGTTGGTTGGTTGGCTGGCTGGCTGGCTGGCTGGCTGGCTGGCTGGCTGGCTGGTTGGTTGGTGGTCGCATCCCCAGCATCAGCGGCCTCGCTTTCGGGCGAGTTTTGGGCTTGCTGAGATCCTGATGAGGGCGGGTCTTGGGTTTGTTTGGGGTTCAGTAATTACTGTTTTTGTGGACCTTCAGTTTGGTTGGCGAGCATTTTTCAGGTCATGAGCCTTCATGGGACCCATGAGAAGCATCCACAAACACGCTTGGTCGACATGAGCCTTTATATCAATATTGAGTTCCTCCGAAACGACCTTTGGACTCGTTTGTCCACATTCTCTATTCTCTTTCTGTTGAGTCGAGGTTTCAATATATTTAACTTTGTTTTCGGGTCCTTGGGGCAAGCGAGTCTTTGATGTTCCCCACATCCTGACTTCATGCCCAGGTCACCCCAGCCCAATGAGTGTCAAGAAGTGGAGGGGCTGCAAAGTCTTCTCGCCGCTCGGGTTGATATGCCGGCGGACCGGGGCGAAGGATATGGTCAGGCTCAAAATGAGGGGAACACCCACCCAGAACTGTTGGTTTCCCCGCGGTGAGACAATCAACATGAGGATTTGTTCTACTGGATCTATGTTCCTGACGCACATAAGAAGTTGTGACCAGGATACGCATACGCACGCGCATATCCCAAAAATAGCATGGTCAAAGGGTTTTGCAGCCGGGTGGAATGAATCTGACTGCAAGTTCGCTGCCAGACTTCCCCTGTTGCTTTGTGCCTTGTTGTTGCTGCTCCTAGTGATTTTGCTCGTTCTTTCCAACAGCCTCATGCCTTCAGGTCTCAATCACGATCCGCAGCTGCCCGCAAGCCGACCAAGGATACCACGATTGTTTCAAGTTTGCGGATGCCTTCTGAAGCTTGGAACGTTGTGCTACTAGGTGTTGTGAATTAAATCAGACTGAAGAAACTGCGGCACCGTTTTCGTCGCTGGAAGAAGCAAATGACCCTACGCATGACTGAATTTGGTTCTCAAAGTGCCCCAAGCCAACCCCATTCTACTTATGTCACCCTTGTATCACTGCAAGGTTTACTGAAAATGCACAGATGTTTGAAGGCATCGCACTGAAATTCAACGAGCCTGAAACCGACTTTGACCACAATTCTATTGGCCAATGCCACATCAAACAGGGAGTCCGGGCAGGGTGACGATTGGTGCATGTTGTTGTAATGTGAACTTCGGATGACTGTGCGCTAAGATTCACCTAGCTTAACGTGTTTATTCGTTTTCACTGGAGTCTGGAGGGTGTCATTTCGAGGGCGAATCCCCGAGCAGCAATGTCGGGATTGATTCTAATGATTCTGATGCAGTTCGTTCAAGTCATCGCACTAAGAGAAGCGGATTTCCGATGGTATCCGATGGTTTCGGACATGCACAGTCCAACTGAGGAAGTGCAACGCAGAGTTGAAGAAGTGACTTGGCCTGATTCTGCAGGAC